TCGTTTGTAGTAGTACAAGAGATAAATATCAACATTTGTGGGATTTTGCGCACGTGAAAATTCTATATTCATGAGCCAAATCGTAATGTCATCCAAGGCCGAATAGGAGTGTTTCCATTGCTTTGTGTACAATGAGTGTATTACACTTTTCTTGGAGTGGGTTTTACTTTATATTTGGTTTCACGTTAAACAGCTTGCTTGGAAAATGGTGGTCGCCATTAGTTCTTCAAAATATTGTTTGTGGGTGATTTGGAAGATTTGGAAGTTTTCCACCGTCTCGTATTCTTTAACGACGACATCAAAATAGCGCCGTCGTACATACGTTGAAAAAAGTATTTATCTCTAAGAATTGAAAAACTAGCACCTGCTTTTCACTTCTAGTGAAGTGCTTAGATCTTGTCTGTATTGTATCACAAAGTTACATGCATGGAAACAAGTTGAACTAAATATCCACTGCATGTGTCATTTGAGTAAAAAATTAAAGTTCGGAAATGATTCTGTCTTATTCACACAACGCATAGGCCTTTGGTATCTGTGTAAACATTTTAATGACCACCAAATGAATGGATATTACTCACATACAAGCGTCTATTCACCGCACAGACAGGAAAATAATAATGCCGTGTCCTGATTATTTCGCTGGTTCGCCCTAATTTTGTAGTCCGTCCTCACTAGATGATTTAGGTCGTCCTCAAGAAATGAGGACAGCGCAAAAATATTAATAGCTTTGGTCTGGTTTTGCTTCCACTGTGCCCCGGGTATTGTGCGGCAGAGAGATCGGTGTCATATGAGATTTGGACTTTTTTTACTTCACACGGACTCCCCGTATTCCATATCCCTTAGTCGTCCATTGATCCGTGCACTCAACCATAGGCTGTACATTCATTGCGGACGTATTTCGTGAAGACCAGCACGCCGCCCGAGAGCAATGCTAACTGCATACGTCAGGCTTAGAGAGCGATCTCTAAACTAATCCGATTAGACGCACCGCACTTTCACACGCTTCTTCAGCTTGACGCGCGCGTGCATTTGGCAAGTCTCGGGAGACTGTCGAAGCCCTGGCATGTTGCGTTGGGCGCACAATGATTTCACGATGATTCTTCAGTGGCATCGTATTCCGTAAGCTGCTTGGGTCCCACCCATCACCTTGACTGATCCACAAACCTCTGAGATCTCACAATCACATCCTCCATGCATATTCTGTCTTTTTAATAACGGCCCTTTACGTAGACTTCACTGCAAAGAAAGTTTAAGCACGAAATACGTTTAGTTTATTGAAAGGCAATGTTTGACAACAGAACATTAACGGTTATAGGATTCAAACACGTCATGTCTCGATTCTAAATAGGCTATGTTTGCAAATTCATAACAAAGCTTGGTTTTCTAATGAGTCGTGTACCTTTGACGCCCATTTCGTATGTGGATGTACCCACCGTTCTCGCAAAATGTTTCGGTCGCATCGGTCTGAAACTTTGCAGAGATGTAGACCATTTGTGTCTTGGTTTATGCCAAGTTTCAACAGAATCTGTCTGCTTATAGTAGCAGAATAAAAAAAATCTCAATTTATTCTTTTTTAAATCCAGCCTTTTTATTTGAAAACTAATTCACCAGTCCCGTGTGCTACAGTAAACGAAAAGAGCTGCATAGTGTGCACGGCATGTATTTGAATTTCAATTTTACACAGATGTAGGCGTAGGCCTACATGATAGAGAAACTGTGACTGTCGTTGCTGGCAGTTTTTTATCCATTTTTTTTTATTTTATTCAATTTGAGCAGCTTCAGCTTTTATCAGAGTAAAAGTTCCTGCTCTGCACTTAGAAATTTTGCTTTGTTGATATTGATCAATCTTGCACGGTCGACGGAAGAATCGATCCGTTTCGTTGTGCAGGCCAGTTCGTGTTGGAAGTCAAGCGCTGCAAACCGATTCCCCATGTCTCTTCACCGCCGATTGTCGTCTGTACTTATTATAGGCATTGTTTTCAGGCAGGTTGGAGCCCCCGTCCGCTCCGATCGATTTTGTGACATCGACCTTTTTCCATGTCCGGCTTCGGGTCATCCCTCCCATGGTGACTCGGTGCCACGACTTCGTGTGCGAAATGGTTGGCGCGAAAGCCAACTATTCAGATTTGGGAATTTTTCCGTGCAAGTATGTACGTAGCGGAGAGCAAAAAAAACCTCTGTTTCTCCTCCCCATTTTAAATGAAACTATGAAGTCTTCACGATTTTTCTTTTAGCGTCAAATTGCTTGTATTTTTTTCTTTTTTTGTATAAAGGCATAATGGATAATTTGCTTGGGAATGCCGTATGTTTCATCGTTACACCTAATTACGTGTAGTGCAAGGTAAATCCCTCTCTTTTTTGTTCCGTGGTCGATCGAGAGTGGCAAACTTGCGAAACGTGATCCACGCCGGGACTGTTCTTCCCGATGGCGGCATTGTTGACTCAACTTGTGGAGCGCGTTGAAGTATTTCACGGACGGGCGGGCAATCCCCCGTAGTACGGTGCCACGCTTTTAGCGCGCAATATAGTCTCTTCAGTTTGCACTGCACTCCAGTGCCTGTGGTCTGAGGTGCTACTCGCCGCCCGCGCCAAAGAAGGAAAAGCTTTTTGCTGACTTTAATGGATTCGCTTCTCCCAACAGGGCTGGCCCGACAATGTGCTCCAAGTGTGCACCCCGCACGCCGATTCTTCAACAAGCCTGGCTGCCAAAAACAACAGGGATATTTCAATGTTACCTTTTTGTAGTGGACAGAACAGCTTTTAAAGGACGTGGGGGGAATTGGGACAGTGAACTTACAGTGGCAAGACACGTCAAACGTCTTAGAATTTGGTGGTTTGATATTTGAGTATTTGTTTTTCAATAGACGCGACGTTGTAGATGACAGGAGCAACAGTGCGTTAACGTTGCAAATGCCCTCGTACATGTATACCTGTACCGCTAAGTCGGCACGTAGCGCGCTGAACACGAATCACAGTGTGTCTTTCGTTTGATGTCAACTGCCTTAAAGACGCTGGGCCAGCTAGTCTCTCTCACAGGGTGGTGTCAAGGTAACAAAAAACACTTTGCCACGATCGTTGGAGGTTCATTCCCACTTTGCTTGCCCATTAAAAAAACAACCGAAGGAAAGAAACTCAGTAACCATTGCTTATGTAGTAACCCCAGCATCAGAAAAACCAGTTATCTGCATTAGGGCTCAGTTATTCCCAAAATGGTCGGGTTTTGTCCACATTCACGCAATATTCCGTCATTTCATACCAAATGCCAGGTGAGAGAACACTGCCAAACTATTTTTTTAATAAAATGTTCTCTGTTTTTTCTCCTCTTTGAAGTTGTCGACTGTACGGCACCCCGTATACTTTTTTAAAGTGAAATTGGTCGGCCGTCCCCTCAGAAACTGATGTACCTCCCCGGTGCAGGGAGGATGCACTTGACGTGCTTAAGATCCCCCCCCCAAAAAAAAGGCTGCAGGAAGAGATAAATGAGCGGTTTCCGCGCAGGGGAAGCCATTTAGGGAAGTGAGCCCCTCCTGTAGCTGTGACTTCCGCGGAAAGTGACAAGTGATGGGAGTGGTTTATCAGGATTACGGCGAGGGGAAATCTACCACCAACTTTAAACGCCGGCAGGTAGAGCGTTCTGAACTGTATAGCAACCACCTTGTGGTTATACACAGGGAGCCGGGGAAGCTTATATAAAGCGTGTCTTTGGTAGCTTCCTCCCGTCGACATCGACGCCATGCAGTCTGGTTTCCACCAACCTGACGGTACCCCGACTTCTCTCAGTGGCACACTTGCTTTGCGCACTTCGAAGTTCGAGCGGGAGGGATACACGTCTATGGTATGCGTGATAGGGATCGTTGCGTCCTTAGAGACTAGCATCTGTCACATCTGCGTTTTGTCGGCAACAGTCACACACCTGTCGGGATGTTTGTTCTAATGAAGTGTAGAAACAGATAGCACACTGTTAACTTGACCAATTGGTGTTGTCACGATAAGGATTTTTCTCATCGAGGCGGAAAAAAAGTTTGAGAGTTATGACGAACTAATGAACTGATGGTATGCAACTAGTGACCGTCTTTCAGTTTGTTTGTATTCATACACATTGCTAAACAAATTAATCCATGTAAATTCATGTCCAGATATTCGGCCAGTCTGGGGGTATTTCATTTGCGAAATAATACCAACATTGCTCGATACATAGACTTAAATAAAAACATGGGTCCCGTGTATGTCTGTCAACAAATGATCCAGGGAAAAAACGGCATTTGAGTTTCACATACCGCATTCAAGCAAACCACACGAACGGTAAAGACAAGTGTACATCTGATCGCCCATTCCGTGAAAGTGTTTTCATAACTGGTGCTTTCAAAGGTGAACAACTGTGGGAAAAAAATGAAAACAGGAGAATTTGGATCCTGCAGTACCTTTTTTTTGCGCGGATCGAACGGCGACTCAACTCCCCCGAGACGGTTGTTCTTGGGTGTCTGACCGTAGGCGTGAATGGCAAGTGTCGTTAATGAACCGCGTATTGATTTCCCATGGGAGCCCGACCCGGCGCAGAACATGAAGGGAGATGGTTGCATTGCAGATCCCCTGTGCCTTTCCAAGAAAGCACATTTATGATTTTTTCCCCCACCCGGTAACCAGATAGGCGCTCCTTGGAGCACACACATTTGGGGCACATGCCCGCCGCATTCGGGCAACGCGCAGCTTACAACATCCTCTGCCTTGTGCATGCAGCTGGGTCGTCTTTCGGCTAGATATAGAGCCCTGGCCGTGTAGTGCGCCATATGAATCCCATACAGGCGAATCGTCTTTTGTTACATCAGCTGCATGTCTCTGTTATCGTTATCGGTCATGCATTATCTCGCTTCATCCCAGAATGCTGTGTCGATATGCCCCGCCCCTTCCTCCTTTAAGTGTCTCTTACTTTATGAAATCGTATGACGTTGGACTCGGAAAGCAATCCCAACCTATCTGTCCACTTCTTCCCCTTTGTGCAGCTGTTCGTCTTTCGGGTAGAGCACTGGCCGTACGACCCGGACGTCGACTGGTGGCAGTGCGTCTTCTCGAGCGACCTGAGGCCGCCCTACGCTGCCGTCTACACTACGCTGGTCGTCATGGGTCAGGTCATCTTCCCGCTGATCATCATGTTCGTCGCCTATGGTCTCATCTATAACAAAGTGCGCCAGAAGATTGTCATGAAAGGTGATTCCCACCCAGAGATCCCCCAGCACCCCTTCCCCTACCTCCTGTATCTCCTTCCTTGAATTTCTCCCATGAATTGTTCATAAATAACAATTTTATAAAGAGGTAGGTCGTTTACCGACAGGAATATGTTTAGATTTGATCACTCGATGTTCTCAAGAATACTTGAATTCTTTTCCCCGCGGTTCGACCGCTGTTTCCCCGTCTCCATTCCACGTTGTTTGGTTTGATGGTGCAGTTTTTTATGACCTTAACCATTTTTTTGTTTTGTACAAGAAAGACCATGATTTTACAAGATTGCGATTGACAGCACGTGCGATTTACTTTATGGTGCTATGTACTGAGTACTGATCAAAAGATCAGTAATTTGTGGAATATTGTGTTCTAGATGACAAAACTCTTACTGAAAAAAGCCATTAAAACAATGTCACATTTTATTACTCTCTGAAGGCAAAACACACTCGTTACACTCGTTAGAGTGGTGCCTAGTATGGCTCTTTGAAAAGAGCAATGGCTAATTCACCCCTTCAGAGTGGTGTTGACCCTGGGTTTGAGTAAAAACACTCAAGAGAGTGCAGACTGCATTTCAAAAGAGTGAAAGATCACTCGAAAAAGAGTCGTCCCTCATCTGGCTCTTTAAAGACGGAAATTTTCATCAACAGGTCGCTTGGCCGCAATGACGGTAATTTATTGACGCTGACGGCTGTAACTTTTCTCCCCGCAGAAACCAGCGAGAATCTTTCCGAGATGCGACAAGCGCGCTCCAAGTTGTTCCTCCGGGCCCAGCGGCGCACCATCCGCATGGCCATGGCCATCTTCACCGTCTTCACCCTCAACTGGCTCCCTTACGCGTTCTTCTGCTTGTGGTACCTCTGGTTCCCCCACAACACCCTCCCAGACGCTGTATTCGAGATATCTTTTCTTTTCGGCCTCACCAACTCCTGCTTCAACCCGCTCATTTACGGCGCCTGCAACGTGCGCTACTGCCACAAGATCTGCGCCTGCCTGGGGCTGCGGCCGACCTCCAAGTCGGTGGAAACCAGCCACTCGGATGGCCGGTCCAACAACAAGACCACAATGTACTCCGTCCGCTGGCAGTCCTCCAAGAGCGCCAACAACACGACGCGGGCGGGCAACAGCAGGAACAACAACAAGGAGAGCCGATGGGGGAGGACACAAGCGGTGCCCCCCGAGAAACAGCAGATGATAACAACCACAACTTGATCCAAGAGCCCAGCGTCGTTGTAGGGGAGGTGGGCAATGTTATCGGAAACGTGTATATAATAAGGCATTGTGGGTCCCTACTTCATTGCCCTCTGTGGACGGGAGTTAATTTGACGTGTTTAGAATACTATTCGTCAGATCCGACGAGATGTCATCACATCGATGGCTCTGCTCAGGCAGAGCTTTGTTTTGTTCGTGTTTTGTTTTTGTTTTTTTAATTTTTGCATACCGTCTGCGTGGCACCACACCAATAATGCCTGCTAACCTGCTTGACATTCTCATGGCTTCATGGCATTGGATGACGAAGAGAACGTTGATATTTTTTGTGTCAAGCAAAGCGGTCAAATATTATTCAACACCATTCTACATGTACATAGTTTTTCGTAAGTATCTTCTTCTCATGTCACAAGTCATATGTATTTGATAAAATGCTTTGTAAAATGAAAGCAAAATTAAGAAGTTTATTACAAGGAAAAGCCACCATCTTTAAGAAAAGGGCACCTCTCGCCAGTCTGAAAAATGAATTTGATTTGTCGGTACAGGATGAACGAACTTGAAGTATGAATTGCGATTGGCCAATACTTGCTCCAGACCTTGGAACTCACACTCATAGCCCAAGACCACCGACCCGACTACCCACTGTTGTTAATGAACAGGCTTATACAGCTGAATTATGTAGCTTCAGCATCGTTTTGTTGGGTCATGATCACAAAGAAGGAAAACGGGAGTTCGGTCGAGCTGATTTAAGGAATCTAGTCGGTATGAGCAGAAGTATTAGTGCTATGGGTGTTTGGGATTCCAGTCCTAGACGGTTCTTTTTTATAACATTTTTCCCTGTTTTGTTGTTCTTTCCCATGGTAAAATATCTATGTTGAAAGATTATCAGATTAATTGCCCGAATCTGTTTCATTTCAGTTTTTTTTAGTCGAGGACAGAAGTGCAATCCATTGTGTTCTCGGTCAGGTAATATCATAATATATTTCGGCCATGTTCCTAACGTGGCATTTCTGTAAAAGCTTTGTTTATTAACAGGGACGGATTATCGGATCGGGTGGACCGACATGTGGAAAGGGATGTATGTTTTGTCGGTACACGTTTTCCATCAGGTTGGGCATAAAAAATGGACTGCTTGTTTGTGGTCCAGTCCCGTCCAGTTATGGATGTACGGATCACCTTGAAAATGTTGTCTGAAAGCTAGCCTGAGTGGATGAGAGTTTAACGTGAACAAAATGCCCACGTGCAATTTGCTGATTTACACAGTATAACCTTTGATGGGCCTGTGGAGTTGACAGATATTTAGTATAGCTCGTTAAGTTCGTCTTTAAGACCCAGTATCTTTTTACCCAATTTTTGCATCGTCACTTGACAGTTGTTCCCGGGTTTTTTTTTTTTTCCGGTTGACTTGAATTTCCATATGCATATGAAAAACTGTGACGTCATCTTAAGCAGAGGTTTCCATGTTGCAGCTTCTCTGTCATCCAAAGTTTTTATAATTGTTTAGTTTGATTTTTGTCTTTGGTTTGGTTCTGAGTTTTGCTGCGGTCAGTGATTTATTTTTATTAATTTTTTTATTATTTTTTTTGGTGAGTATGTGTTTCCCCAAGGCTTCATTGTTCAGTCTTTACAAGAAAGTCAGTCAGGGAGCAGGATACCTGTATAAAAATGTTTTGGTGAGGTATATTTTGGGTTCATAATTTCTACAAGATACAGCAAATCTGCAGTCGTTATGGGACAGTATTACTCTTCTGAAAAAGGGAACTTTAAAAGTCAGAACTAAAGAAGGTTAATCCAACATGGCTCACAGGAACAGATACTTTCCGAAAGTGCGTTTCATTGTGATTTGATCTGACCCGATTCTGATAGTTTTATGACTTTTTTTTTACAACGTCAGCGTTGTCGATCCGGCTGGGGCGCACTGCTGTAGGGGTCACACAAGTTTTGCACATGACTTTGAAGAGACCCGTGGTAGTTACTGTTTGACGGGTATAGCTTAAAGAGCGAACATTCCCACCGTCGCGTCTAATGAACTCTCGGCTCACGGTCATGGCTCGCGACGCCTTGTCATCCATTAAAAACGCCGGAATCATCCGCCATCAAGAGAAGGATGGCAGTGCGCCTAGCCAAACTCCACCGTCGCAGAGAAGATCAAAATTTGCAACGCTTGGCACCCCTCGAAATGAAAGATTCATTGAAGTGAATTGACTCCTTGCAAAAGTATGACGACCAGAGTGATCAACTCCCAAATAACCTTTTCCGTTCTGCCCATCTCAAGGCAGGTGGGGGGGTCCGTCTGCCCCCCCCCCCCCCAGATCTCGGCCGTCAAGTCTTCAGTGGCATCTTGGTGCGCATGTACAGACATTAATTATGAACACATCTGTGAAAAATGTAAGGTTAAGTCAACCATCGGCTTTCTTGTTATGGTAATAATAGTCGTAATGATTGCCCATGGACAATGATTGAGTTTAAGGTTATGCAGATTTTATTGTAGCAAACAGATATGTCGTAGATAGTGGCGTCGGGACGCTTGAACGCTTCATCACGGAAACCGGTTGGCATCGAGATTCCAGTATTAAAGTAAGATTGGAGTTGTTTGTGCGTTAATTTCCATTAATTTTTTGTCTAAAAGCGAAGATTGTATGTGGAAATGTCGGCAGTGTAAAGTTCGGAGACTTTTTGCACATTTTTTAGGATAGTTTTCACCTTTTGCACACGCTTCGTATGTATCGCTTGGGAAAGTTTTTTTTCACAGTTAATCTTGAAGTTAATTATTTAAATAACCTTGTATTAAGTTTTTCCTTTCAGTTCGCAGATGCACTGAACAAAATAAAACCCCGATGGCCCGCCATCTTTTAATTTCGATACCGTGACCATAAAGCAGAGATAACAAGTCGAAGGGCAATCTCTTATATAGCCAATTTAACGGCTCTTTACCCTTTACGTTTCAGTCAAATTTGTTCGGTTATGAAGTAACAACGAGCAAATATATTTCCTGCAGGAATTTAAGGGAGTCAATATAAGAGAAGGGAGTTGTAGTTGTTGCATAGCTGCCATCTTGCAGACTAGCGCTTTTGCTCCACAAGGTATGCACAAAGGTTTCCCTGTGGAACAAAAGAACTGCCCTGTAAGATGGCTTCCAAGCAAAGCCTCTATTGTCAGAGTTGGACGCCTCAAGATTGTAAACTGAGAGTCAGACGTTCCTTGGGCTGAGCGAAACGGCTGACTTATTGCGTGGCGCTCAGGGAAAGTCTCGTGCGACCCACCGCGCTCCAGGCAACCGTAACCGCTGATCAGAAATGGCAGCGTGGCTGTTGATTGGTCGATTGCTGTCAGCCGATTCTTCCGTGGCGTAGGCACTCGCAAGTACGTCATAATTTGGGGTCAAGGCGCAGATGTCGTGACTGAATAATTAATCGCCTCATTTGCATGCATTATGCAGACGTTCGCAGTGTGAACATCTATTAATGTGAATGTCTGTCAAAACATTACAGAAGGATTGGACCGTAGCTAAGATGCTACACAAGGTAAGACGTAAGGTCCAATGTATAAACTGCATCCTTGATGTCGCATACATTAGATTTATCCCATCCATAATCGTATTCCACAGTAAGACCTTACACTACACCTCAGCTAGTGTCGCACAAAATGTCAAAGGTCAAATTAAACTTAAGTGCATAAATGAAAAGTGCAGTCCAGCAAACTTGGCCACGAAATAGCTGTTTCTTCGAATCTTTAAGTGCATGACTATGTGCTTCAGCGTCCAAACAAAGAACGTGCTGGAGCTGCTGTCCACATTTGCCGCATGGTCCAACGGGCGGTGCTGTTTTACTTAGTAACGGAGTTCCACTTTTCTCCAGCTTGTTTCATGCCTCTTGGGATTGCTGTCTTCCACATTCTGTCGTCCAGTTCAAGAAAGGGGCAGTGTTGCATGCGTCATGTTTGTCATCGCCTGCAAACACCGTCCAAGGAGTTGGACATGTCCCCATTCTCTGCATTTGAAAAGTGGTGAGCGCAGAATATGAAATGACGGAGAACCCGCAGCCATTGACAGAATCACCACAAATTTATCACTGCAATCAATTCTCTTAAATTTCACTTCTTACCAAGCCATTGTTCAGTGTGCAATGCCCCAAGTGTCTTGTGGCGCTACCTTGTCCGGTTATTCAACTCAAGCGTTGCGCTGTCATCGCTATATCCTACCCAGGCGCGGTGCTCAATGTCCCCAGTGGAGCGTGAATAACACGCACGCTCGTTGATTTTGTATTATACACCTCCCACATTATGTGATGCGTTGTGTCAGAGACCACGTAAAGTTAACAAGTCATGTGAATATTGATTTTAAATACAAATATTTTGGTTCCTTGTTATGCACTTTGTACGTAAGCTTGTATTCGGGGATGACATTTTAACCAGGTTATTGTGTATATTTTTTGTCAAAGTGTAAATAAATCGTGGACGATTGTCGACAAAACGCATATGTATCATAAAAAATACACCGTTATGAAGCACAGTTGAGCACAATTGAAATAATTTATTGTTGGTGGATATTTTAGTACAATAAAGAGGACGAGGTATATCGATACACTTCGAGAAAACTGTCACGTAGTAATGGGATGTCGTGGATCAGCATCGCTGTCTGGTGTGCCTTCTCTACGTTGTATGCCAGTGGCATTTTTAATGAATATTTTGATATTATACCTGCATAAATCCCCGTGATCTGATTGGTGGATGGTTGATCACATGTCATTGAATTATTCGTTCTATTCCACGGTACGCGTTGAATAGAACTTCATTTCACTTGACTGGTTCCCACCCCATTCGTGTCTTTCATTCCCAGTAGGAAGGAGGAAACGAATGTATGGACGGGAACCAGTATAACATCGCGCGGTACTATTTTATTTGGTGGCGCTTCGGGCAGGAATCTGTAACACAAAATGATTATGCAGATATTGTCTATAACAAATAATGAATGTTTCACATTCGTGCAATGATGAAAAAATTTCGTTCGCTGACAGATGTAATGTTCTATTCCACTTGGCTTCGCCTCATGGAATAGAATATTTCATCTGTCGCCTCGTGAGATTATTCCTAGCATTGCACGCATAGAAATTCAGTATTTGAGTAATACTACCCCAGAATTATCCGAGGAGGCGGCATTACGTCGTTGGCACCCCACCTACGCCTGCATTCTTGCACGAGAAGAAGTGTGTTCATCTTGTTTGGTCGAAGAGGCATGCAACGCGCGCGTATTTCCTGCAAGCCGGCGTGGCGTGTCTACACAAGAATGGCCTCTTGTTCTTGGACGCTAGTTTAGTCTATAAGAATGGAGGGAACTGTTCTGAATCAGCTTTTGATCAAGTTTGGGCCAAAAGTCCAGGCCTGTGTAAATCGTATAATAGAAGTTAATATGCATGAATTCCTTTCACAAGCACCATGAGTGAAAGTTGTGCAGTTGACATCTTAAGTGGTCTCAACGGAGAGCACATTATGTTTGACAGTGTTGCGGCTTAATCTACGTGAAGGGCGGACTTCACGCACACTGAACACTGTTTACCAGAGGGCTACTTGACCGTTGTTTTGCGTGCCTCTCGGGACAAACATGTTTGCGTTTTCACATGTTGACAATTCTTTTCCGAAGAATAATGACTTCCTTCCAGGTTTCTTGCCTTGGCGGTTCAGATAAAAAATTTTCGATGTAAATCTTGGCACCTCGTTAGAATCAGGCGAAGGTGGGCGGAGGGGAAACGTTATATGCTAAAAAAAAATGAATTTACTTCGGGAACGGCTTCACGCTAGGGAAATTGAGGGGGATAGTGATTTGGAATGTTGCGGTTCCTCGACCCATTTTCCCAACTTGTAGGAGAAAAAATGCAACAGTGATTTGACTAATTGCGACCAGTGTCTCAAGATGTGCTTTCCTGCGGACTAATGCGAGGAATTACATGTAACGATCAGAAATGACGAAAACAAACTAGCTGGTAAACACCAGTCAATAACCGCACGTGCTAGGTCGTCGACAGGGCGAGTCAGCACCGAACGAGTAACGTACTTATACTGTCGAGAGATGTCAAGAATACAGGCGTTTCACAGTAGTGCGCTACCAAGAGTTTGCAATGCGTTGGCCAATCACAAATTTTGCGCGTTGTGATTGGCCAAGGCGTTTCAAACTCTTTATGACGCACTGTTGTGAATCGCCGGTGTTTCATTTTACGAACGAGGGTGGTTTCGCGGCCATGGCACTGTTTTTTTGTACAAAATGAACTATGATAATTACGTGTACATGAACATACTAAGTATTGAATTTTGGGGACAAATTTGACGTCATTCAAAGTGCTGGCTGTTGCATACACGAAGGCGTCAGTGTCATGTCCTAAATCAATGCAGCAGACTATTAGGGATCGTCAAATTAAGCACTTAATTGATCATTTCTTCCGACGTAGGTTAAACTTCTTTTGACTCGCTGGAATCTTGCCGACAGTGTGACTGCCACATAAACATGCATTCGGCTGTAGCCAGTTATCAAATTGCGACTTTTCAAATCCGAGTATTACCTATGTTAGCCAAAATAGATAAACTCAACACGGTATTCACAGACATAATGCCTACAATCGCGATGCATTTTGAAGCTAACAAAAATTAGCACGCCAAAACCGACCCCTTCCCACCTAAAGATCGAGTCTGCCGGTTGTGTGTATTTAAGAAAACGTCCTTACGAGCAGCAAGACGCAGCCGCTCCCCAAACTCTCTAATGAGACCTCGGTATTGAGAGCCTATACACTGATTGAAATTTTTCATGCAAATATATATTGAGCAGAAGAGCATAATTTGTTCTGAGGACTTTCGACCAAGGACAACCTTGTCTCCAGTGTCAGGGCAAGTCGTAACCCAACACAGCCACAGGAAGGCCCCGGATGAAGAAAGACATGCTCCCGATTAATTTGTCCTTTCGAAAGCTTCCGATATGACGTTATTTTTTATTGAAATTTGACGATTGAGTTTAGAACTAAAGAGTTCTGTTTCAAAGGTTACGTTATCAGGGTATTACATTGTATTGTATGCTAAGATGCACTCCACTTCTATATATGCAGTAATTTTCATCCTCGAATAGTGTTGTACTTTCACGTAACTGATGAATTGTTGCCTCCCCCCAAAAAAATGAATAACTAAAAGAGAACAGGCGACGCGTATTCCATGAAATAAACACAGGATGGTTTTGTTGGATTGTTTGGGTGAAGTCAAGAACAAGTAGTAACAAAGGAACTGGTGAACTAGTCAAATGCTGAAAGGGGGCCGCCAAATATCATCAGCAGGCTTAATGGTGACTGATTCGAATTCTATCCTGGACTGATAAGATACAAAGGCCAGCGAATTACCAAGAGAGTTTTCCCCCTTGTGGCTGTCTTTGGAGGGTATTAAACTTGGGTTCAGATTTGAAATGACCAACTGCAAGTGTTTCATTACAGACTGCCCTTTGGCGTCATTTCTCCGTATAACGCCTGCGTTTGTTTGAACCTTCCGTACATTTCTTTCAGTACGCTCAATAAGCGTCCTGGTGTCGTACATTCAAAAGCAACATGGAAGCGCTGATTTTGGTGGAGTCATTCAACCCCACTAGTGATAATGATGTGTTATTACATGGCATAGACAATGAGCCTCGAGCTGGACCAAGAGAGGGCGGGATTTTCTCAGCAACGGAGGTTCCATTGGTAGGAACTGAACTTCTCTGGTTCACGAAAGACTATGAAACGCACGCCTTACGGTCGCATCGCTACCATCAAAATGAACACTCCCGACCAACAACAGGTGGATACCATTGCCGAATCAAACTCGTCTGTAGATAAAATTAAGCCAGGATAATAAAAATGTTACATTTCAAAATTAAAATGCAGCATACGGTGTGCTTTAAATATTTGAATATTTGGAGCCATAATTAGGAAACAACCTTCCAACCCTATGACAGCTACGGTCTTTCAACCTTAACTGCATTATAGGTCCCATATGTTCGATTAGCGTCACTCATGTAGTTGCACCGCGTACAACTATATTTTATGCCCTTTGCTTTTTGGAATTTTATACTCGGGTACATACGTACACGCGGGTCGCTTGGAACCAGTGATGTGTAAAGCTTTGGTGTGGCATGTGAACTACATTTGACTTATGAACGACGGAGTGGTGACAGAACAATGTTTGTGCAAAACTTGTCTCTTGTTTATGAATTAAAATGAGACCTGAGACTTTAATTAACAGAAGCTGGTTTACTCGTATACACAGCTAGATCCTGTGCTGTATTCGCCGCCGATCGTCAAATCGTCATCCGCTTCTCCCATCCCTGGACAGCTCACTAAACAACAACTTTGGAAGTGAGATTTAAGTGAGGTTTTTGACGTGGAATAAATTATGGTTTGCGCCCGATTTTTTTTCATTTGTGTGGCACTGTCTGCAGTTTCTGACTTTGTGCAAAAGTGTTCTTGAAGTAATTTGGAACCAGGGTGCACGTGTTCTACTTAATTTCCTGTTCTGGTTTTCACCGACCAGACAAAGCTTTAGCATTTCTTTTCCATTGGAAAACAATTAATGCCCACTCCAATCCTTTTCCTTGCCATTTTATGCTGCCCCAGTTTCCCTCTCGATGCAGTCATCCACCTCGAATGTCAAACTAAATACAGTTACGGCGCTTTTCCAAGTTCACTCGCCGAGGACTATTAGCCAGCATAGCAACGATCGATTGTTGGTCATTTTAGGCGATTATTTAGTTCGATATGTGGCACAGTTCGACGGCTGAGAGAGGGTACAAAATAGCCGCGGCAATATCTGGGCCGGTGCGGCATTCCCAGACGTCGATTGCAGACACGTCTCTCTGCACACTTAACCAGTGAATTCACTCTCAGCTCAACTCGGAGTCAATTTTTCTCTGAGTCCCCACAGTGATTTTGTTTCTGTTAGATTGAATGGTTTCCTGAACAGACGTGTCGCAAGTATTGGATGCCAACGGCACGTGACTGGGTTGCAGCAACCGGCGGTAGCTACAGTTGAGGTTATCGAGAGCTGGGAGCTGGAAGCTTAGTCGACGCGCGTGGGTTCGTGCCAATTTTCCTGCTTTGAATTTGAGACCCGGAACTGATTTATGAAATGAGCAGTGGTTCTGCAAGAGAAAAAAATCCATCGTTCCAGTTCATTCCATGTTCTCACTCCATCCACCGTTATAAATCCCTCCAGGTCGACAGCGACAAATTCCCGCGCAATAGTGATTGATGCGAGCGCGTAAATGGCGTTATGTGCTCACACGGAAGAGGACCACCGAAAACAAAATCACACATGCCAGATTCGGTCAAAAGACGGATGGGTTTTTGAAAAAATATGTGTCGAAGAAATAAACACTGGGATGTCTCAAAGCGAAGATCCGTGGATTTATATCCTGACGTTATTGATGCTCACACCTGACTTTTTGGCATTGGGTGTCAAACCCTTACCAAAGAAAGCAGCCGAGATATTAATCCCTTGTGCTGCTTTTTCCCCCAGATGGCTGTTTTCTGGCGAACGGTAGAACGCGGTTTTCATGACCACTTCTTGGTTGTGAAACTCGACAGGCGAGAAT